AAGAAAAAAAAAAAAAAAAAAAAAAAAAAAAAAAAAAAAACTCACAATAGAAAAACCTTTTAAAGTCAAAATTGTCAAAAATAACCATAAATACAACTTGGTCTCAATTGAAATATCCATAAAATAGTATATGTTTGTGAAAATGAGCAAAATATTTTCTCAAGAAAAGACAGAACAATTTTCAAAAATGAAGATTCAAGAGGGAGAATAGACTTAAAATATTATTACTAATTATAAAGTTATAATTTTAAAACTTTGGGGAGAGGAATCTAGATTTCTAAAAAGTGCGAACAATGCATTAGAAAATAAAAATATACTCAAAGGTTATATGAATTAAAACTCTGGGAATAATAGAAGCTTCAAATCTTTAGTGTATGAGTCTTGCTCTGTTGCCCAGACTAAAGTATGGTAGCACAATCAATCATAGCTCCCTACAACCTCAAACTCCTGAGCTCAAGGGATCCTAGCTAATTTTTTCTTTTTTTGGAAACAGGGGCTCACTATGTTGCCCAGGCTAGTCTCAAACTCCTGCCTTCAAGCAGTCTTCCCACCTCGGTCTACCTAAGTGCTGGGATTACAGATGTGAGCTACTACACCTAGCCAGTTTTAACTTCTTTATATAATTATGTCTTCCTTTTATAGTGCATGGTATAGCAATTCATTCACTAAAATACTCTATGGTATGAAGTAGAATTTTAAATTTTCTTCACATAAGTGATATAAATTTTTTTAGCCTCATACTCAGTATTTTATGTTTTTGCTTGCTATTGAAAATTGGTTTATGCCTTCATCATATTTACTATATTTAAATAATAATTTTATGTATCACTTACAGAATTATCTCTGTGTTCCCACTATATTTTTAATTTCAGATTCTTGGGTTTCCTTAGACTTAATCATATCCCCTATGATTAATGATAAATATGTCTCCTGCTCTCCTATTTCTATAATTCTTTGTCTTTTTCATAACTAATTGCATTATCTCATAGTTCCAGAGCAGTCTAAAATTATGTCACATTCTTGGGATGTTAATTTTAATGAAAATGATTTCTTACTTCCCCATTAAACATGATGGTAGCATTTGACTTCATGCGTGTGTGTGTGTGTGTGTGTGTGTGTGTGTATTCATGTTGTGTGTGTATTTGTGTTTGTTGTTGTAAAGAAAGAAGATGTTTATATTATTAAGGTTATTTTAGTTATATGAAACTTGAACTCTGTGCTTTTTTTGTGTGTTGATTAAGGAGCATAGAGTCATGGAAGCCCCATTTATTTCTTAAATGACCAGAGTTTCTTCTTTGCTTGACTGAAGCTGGGAATTTTTGCTGTTGTTTTACTTACTTATAATTAGGTTTGTGGAAAGCAAGATGTTGCAATTGTGCTTCATTCTGCCATCTGAAACCAGAAGTCTGCTGGGAATGTTTTAATTATTAATCATGGAGTCTCTGTATAGCAAATCAAATAGGGTTATATATTTTTTGCTTGATGATTTTGCTAATGTTATTCTAATATTCACAACCTAAGAAACCCAAAATTACCAATAATGTTTTAAAACAACATAATTAATTATTGCTTGGACATTTCTACCAAGGAGCATATGGATTTATGAAATAAAATTATAAACTATGAGAAAGAGAGATCAACACTTGTATTTTTACACATATGCAGTTTCTTATTAGCAAAATCTTTATTTTAGGTATGAGCCAGAAGTCTTTTTTATAAGTAGATGTGTTCTTCATCTGCACTCTACAACATTTGAAATCACATCAGCAGATACCAATTACTAATTGGCTCTGGGTGCTTTGCCAGCAATTCTTCTAGTCTCTGGTAAAAATGAGAGGGGCTTTCATTTGGTTTTCTTTTTGGTTTGATTATTTGTTTTGTTTTCCTTTCTGATTTCTATTTAGTGGTAGATGTTTTTATGAAATGTATCCTAAATTGCTCTCATAATTTATTGATTAATTATTGGCATTTCTACCTTTCTTAATGTTTTTATCTAAACTCTAAAATTAGGAAATGCCCATGTATCAGAACGTTTACTCTCTCTCATTCTACATATACGTGTTTGTATGATGTATATATGTTTTTACAAATGTGTATATTCATTTCCACAGTGTTTTATGTATATAAATATTCATGCCATAATAGAATTTGGTTCATTTATGATGTGAAATATAACTCTCAAGCAGACTGTATTTTTGCTTCTCATGGTCACATAGTATCTATCTCTTTCACTCTCTATATATGTATATAAAATATACACACACTTATATGTATTTTCTTTTTTTATTTTAGGATATTATGAAGGTGCAAACATTTTGGTTACATTTTATATCATTGCCTCTCCCTAGCAGGGGTTAGAAGCATGCCCTTCCCCTCCACAATGCACACTGAGTCTTATAGTTGTGAGTTTGCCCTCCCAACCCCCCATCCCTGGAGAATATTACTACCATGTGAGCACCATAATGTTAATCAGTCAGTACCACTTTGATGACGAGTACATGTGGAGCCTATTCTTCCAATCTTGTGTTACCTCACTTCAGATAATTCTTATTCTTGATTATTTATATCATTGGCATATGTATGTGTGTGTGTGTATATATACACACACACACACACACACACATATGTATATGCTTCATAGTCAGTCAAGTTTTTAGGGACTTCCATGGGGCTAAAATAAGAAGAGATTATTGATACTACTATTAAACAGTATCAGCCCCTGCAGACGTCATGTATGCATTGCCAACATTAGGACTACTGGCAGAGTAGATAGTGACCAAGAGGAAGTGCTCTTTCCCAGATGGTTATTATTTAGGCAATGCCACTTTTGGCCAACTGTACTTTTCCTTGGTGGCCTCATATCTCCCAGTTATTTATATAGCACTCACTCTGTGTCAGGCTGTGTCCTAAGAACTTTAACTATATTACCTTACTTAACCCTTATAAATCCTATGGAACAGATACATTTTATCCATTTCATTTTCAGATGGGCAATTGAGGCACAGGGCATTTAAGTAACTTGTCCAACTACAGTTATACAACTGGTAAGTACAAACCCAGATGTGAGCCAGGCAGTTTGGTTCCTTAGCCCATACTCTTATCCACTACAGCACTATTTAATTCCTTAGGCTGTGTTGTAATTATTCATGTAATGACTTAGGCTCCTGCTAGACTACATGTTCTCCAAATAAGGAGCCAGGTGGATCTTGCTTGTCTTTCTATTTTGTGTCAATACAATGATACGTAAGTGGTTTTCTTCTTAAATTGAATTAAAGTAAAAGTTTGTCTCTATAATATCCTTTATAATATGTATCCCTGATAAATGACCTTCATAATAGACTTTGAAAAGATGAGATTTGGTTAAGAAAATGTAATGCAGAAAAACGGCACATCATATTTCTCTAGCTTGTACCTCATCTGACTCATTGCTTCATTTCCATTTATCATCAAAGCACTTCAGAAGTTCTTTTTCCAAATGGCTATTTTTAATATCTTGGAGCTTCCTAACACATTTCCCACTTTTTTAACCAAAGAAGGTGTCTCCTTA